GTTAATTATTTTTGTATTTTATATCTATAGCTTCTTTAAGAGAAAGAAAAACAAATACAGAAACACAGGACTTGCAAACCAGATGATAGTAGAATTGAAAGAAAAACACAAAATCTTACCTGGGGAGTTGGCTGATGGTGCTACACACACGCACACACACACACATGCACACACACGCACACATGCACACACACACAGAAACATTGGGTGAATTATCAGAATCTGGATGGCTAACCTTAGTGTATCAGCTTCAGTCATTATAACCTCCTTTCAGAAGGTGAGCCCTGGGCCAGGGAGATCCGCTGGCCTGGTGGTGGGTACTGGAGATCACCCCACCAGCTATCGCTCATCCGTTCAATCTCTATAAAGGGTTTCATCTTTCAGTTCACAGATGCTATTCCTGTGAAACTTCATGGCTTACATTTTTCTCTGTCCTCATCTTTTCCCTTTTTCCTTCTTGTCTCTTTTTCTCTTCTTCCCCCCAATCCCTATCACTTCCCCCTTTCACTTATCATTTCCCCTATTTTTTCCCTTTCCTCTCAATAAATTTGGAAACTTGTTTGTTACTAATAGTCCATCCTAAACTAGTACAGCCAGGAGACTTTATCTGTCTCTTAGTACTTACATGAACTGGTAGGGTTTCTTTTTCCTCAAAGCATTTAAAATCTAAAGAAATTTTACTAATGGGAAGCACATTTTTGTTGAGGAACAAGAGAGTGCTTACTACAGCCTCCTCTGGATCCCTCTAAACCACAAACAAAACAAAAATCAGTTTGGATTTTCTATTTCTGTAGTTAACTTTAAGTCATACTTTACATTCAGTATTAGTTTGTATTAGTTTCAGGTGTGCTGCATATTGGTTAGATAATCACATAGTTTACAAAGTGATCCCACTGGTATTTCAAGTACCCACCTGGCACAATATATAGTCATTACAATATTATTGACTATATTCCCTATGCTGTCCTTTACAACCTGTGGCTATTCTGTAACTGCCAATTTGTACTTCTTAACCCCTTCATCTCTTTCAACCAGTACCCCAACCCCTCTCCCCTCTGGCAGCCATCAATCTATTGTTCTCTGTATCTATGAGTCCATTTTTTATCTATAGGGTGTCCCTAAAACATATATTCACATTTTATATAATTATAAGGCAGTATTTATTAAAATACATTTCATTTTCAAAACTGAGCTGTCAACTGCTAAAGTGTATATACATTTTTGGGCAACCCTGTATTTCTATAGTTTTGATATTATTACAGACAATTACCCAATCAACAACCTCAAATATCCAAATAGGCAAGAAACTGGAGGCACAATTTCCTCGGGGCTTAATTTATGAGTCAAAGGACATGAAAAAGCAGCAAAGGTTAAATGAGTAATGAGGAGAAATGGTAACCTGTATATGGAAGCACTGCAACAGGAGAGTATCCTATGTAATAAAAGCCTAATATGCTAAGTATCCAGTTGTCCAGTTGTCCGTTCAACCAATCAAAGCGTAATATGCTAATAATATGCTAAGGCCACTCAACTGCTTGCTATGACATGCACTGACCACCAAGGGGAAGATGCTCTGACTGGTAGGTTAGCTTGCTTCTGGGGTTTGGCTGATTGGGACTGTGTAAGACAGGCTGGACATGCCCTGGAGCCCTCCCGTGGACCCTCTCCGGCTGGCCAACCTCCCGTATTCTTCCTCGACCCTGATCATGCACTGGTGGGATCCCTCAGCCTGGCCTGTGCCCTCTTGCAATCCAGGGCCCCTCAGGGGATGTCAGAGAGCCGGTTTTGGCTTGATCCCACTCAATGCAGGAGCTGCCCCCTGGTGGTCAGTGCATTACCACAGTGGGAGTGCCACTCAGCCAGAAGCAGGGCTCATGGCTGGCAAGCACAGTGGTGGTGGTGGAGCCTCTCCTGCCTCCATGGCAGTGCTAAGGATGTCTGTCTGATGGCTTAGTCCCGCTTTGGGCCTAAGCCATCAGTCGGACATCCACCAAGGGCTCCTAGATTGTGAGAGGGTGCAGGCCGGGCTGAGGGACTCCCAGCTCCCGAGTGCACAAATTTTGTGCACCAGGCCTCTAGTGTTAATTATAACATAAATTGAGGCCATGTAAGAGAAAGATGGCAAAATATTTACTTAGCTGATTGAGAATATAAGTTCAATGAAGGTATAGCAAATTATAATGAATACATATGTATATATTTACGGTGATTGCATGAGTGTCCTGTGACCTAAAATTTGTTTCTTAGTGATGTCATGGAAACAGACTTTCTAAAAGATCTGAGGACAAAGCAAATTCCAGAAAACCAGACATGTGTTCATTAAAGTGTAAAAATAAATAAAAACTGGAAGCGACTTGAGTTATGTTATACCATGATAGCATTTGATAGTTTATGCAAATATAAGTAGCTAAACTCTATCTAGAAATGTAAAGACAAGGTGTATTTTTTTCTCAGCTTATTTTTGGAAAAAGAGTGTTTTTTCTTCCATACTTGGTTGCTATTGTGATGGGAATTAAGTGCAGAACACATAAAAATCTGTGTTTTACATTAATGTTACTTATTTCTCATGGTTCTGTGGGTATTTTAAAAATAATAAATACTAAAGAAAGTAACTATTAAGAGATGATAAATACTTTCATGTGCTGTACTTATGTTTGCTATAAAAATTGATATCTATAATAAAAAAAGCATAATATGCTAATTAGCTGGACAGCCAAATGACCTTTCAGACATCATTCTGGACGTCCTTCTGGACAAAGCCGCAGCAGCGGGGGCCAAGGCAGAGGCAGTTAGGGGCAATCAGACAGGCAGGCAAGCAGTTAGGGCCTATCAGGCAGGCAGGTGAGTGGTTAGGGGTGATCAGATAGGCATGAAGAGTGGTTAGGGGCTATCAGGCAGGCAGGTGAGTGGTTAGGAGCCAGCAGTCCTAGATTGCAAGAGGGATGTCCAACTCCCAGTTTAGGCCCAATCCCGCCTAAACTGGCAGTCAGGCATCTCCTGAGGGGTCCCGGATTGCAAGAGGGTGTAGGCTGGGCCGAGAGACTCCCCTCCCCCTGCACAAATTTCATGCACCAGGCCTCTAGTTAAAAATAAATTCAGTGCATTTAAAAAGTTTTGAATTACCATAGCAACTTTAATATATAATATGTGATGTGTTTAAATTAAACTAAATTCACTTAGATTTAAGTACTAAATTTAATGTACCTAAACTAATATAATGATTGTACTTAATATTTCCCTGTCAGAGAATTCCATTGTCACAAGTTGATGAGCAAATTTCTATTTCTATGTCAAGAAATGGTGTCTGGAAGACTAGTAGAGCTTGGCAACTGAGATATTTAGGATGACTGAGATTTAGAGGTGACTGGAAATCCAGAGAAATAAATTGTTATTTGGTTTTATGAATTTTAAATTATGGCTTATTCAGACAACTATAAATGTTTACCAAAGCACATTTTTCCTAAAAATGCAAGGGTAATCTGGAATGGAAAAGAGCTAAGATTGCAGACTGTAAACTGAAGAGCTGTAACCAGGAAATTAATAATTGTCACTAAATTGTGTAAGAATAAAGTAATGACATGAAATTTGAAGTTAGACAATTCTATGTTCATCCCTATGGCGTTGGGCCAGTCACTAACATTTTTCATGCATATGCTTCTCTTGTATAAATTAGGGATAACAATCTATAGAAAATCAATTGATTATTTAAAAACTGCTCACTAAGGTTCACCCTGACTGGTGAGGAGAATAGATAGTAAGAAAGCAAGAGTAGAAACATGGAAACCAGTTAGCAGGCAGTTGTAGTTCAGGCAAGAGAGGTTGGGGCTTCGGTTAAGATTGTTATCATGCCAAAAAGTGGTCTAATTTGGGATGTGATTCAAAAATATCAGGAATGGCATTTGCTGGTGGATTGGATGAGAAGAGTGAGGGATGATTCCAAGGTAGATGGCCTGAGCAATTGGGGGGATACAGCTGCCAGTAGCTGTGTGTAGTAGAAATCAGGACTTGGATTTTGGACATGTTAAGATGGAAATGCCTCATACATCTTCAAGACCATTGTATAATGATTGTATAGGTTGTTTGCTGCACAAAGGGATATGGGGACTGAAATCCCTACCAGCGTCTCTGGTGTGGGGCTGCATCTACCTGGTGGGAGAACTCCTCTCTAATTCACACCAAAGTAACGGATAAGCTAGTAGAGGCTTTGGGCAGCCATGGGGAACTTTTTGGGTTCTTCATCCTTGTGTGGTTGGCAGGGCTAAGGCTGTTATAAATATAAAATAAAATAAAATTTAAAATGACCACCAGAGTAACTAGCATATGGTAGGTGCCAAGTGCATGCTAATTCTCTTCCTTCCCAAGTGTGCAGTTTTATTTCACTTATCTGTGTATCCTTCAATTCCTCACATTCAGGTTACTCCTTGGTTAAATATGGTGTTCCAATGAGGAGGTTTGTTTTTCAAGAAACATGAGATATAGGTGACAACAGTAGAAAATACCAGCACTTCTTTGTGCCCTTAGAATTTCAATGCATATGTTATACCCTATGTAATATTTTCAGGGATTTATTCCTCCACTTCTTAACATTTCTATTAAGAAAGGCATGCCGAATGGTTAGCATTTTTGAACTCTGCAACATCGAATTACACTTGAGTACTCAGATTTTTTTGTTAACTGATTAGAAGGTGGATAGGAGAAGAACTTGGTAGCACTGGGGAAAAGTTGTCTCATAATATGAAAATGAATATTTCTCAACATTTCTCAAAATTTTCTATACTGTTCTTGGTTTCTTGTGTTTAATCTGGGTAGGTTTTACAGCCCCTCATGTTATAACAGGAAAAACATTGATTATCCTTGAATTTTACTATAATCTCTAAATATACTTACGTAGATCATCATATGAAGTGTCTAGAGGATTGAGGAAGAACATAAGATTCTTAATTTCTCATAAACATATTCTTGTATTAATTTCTTAATAACTTGGTAACTAGCTTATTTACCACTTTCTGTCGAATATGAATGTCGGAGTCCTAAAAGAAAAGATGGAAAAAATGAGACCTACCTTGACCACTATGTCTACATTATATTCTCATTAGGTGTAAATGTTTACCTCTTCCTCCTTCAGATCTCTGAGAGGAAAAATCTTTGCGGGAAAAATACTAGATTAAGTTTACTACAGCCTATCAAGAAATGTTTCATCATTAGTCTAAAGCTCTCTGCTAAGAGATTTTTCTACTTTCCCAGATGTTCTCATTTCCTTTGGAATCCATTTCAGAAAAGAAAGAGGGGATGCCATTGTCCTTTGCTCCTCATTCTCGTTGGTCAGGACAGTTGAATTAGAGTTAAGAAGAGAATTAATGGATCAAGAGACCATGTGTAGGGTGTGGACATCAAACAGAGTACCAAGCTGCCTCTGTTCTTTCCTCTGGGAGATACGAGTCTATACGCTTGTTGTGTGTGTGTGTGTGTGTGTGTGTGTGTGTATGTGTGTGTGTGTATCTGTGTGTATGTATGTATGTGTGTGTGTATCTGTGTGTATGTGTGTGTGTGTGTGTGTGTGTGTGTGTGTGTGTGTCCCTACAAAAAAGTACAGTGTGCCTTGGAATCTCCTTAGAACCATCAGATTTCTGGATGTTTTATTTAAAATAATCTTTATCATTATTCCTTACTTGTTCCAGACCACATGTTCTGATTTGAGGGACAGAGTATAATTCTATTGTTAAGAGGAAATACTGAAACATAGTATATTTTATTTCAGTATACATGTTTTTGTCTTAAATCAAGTGGGGATAGTATGGTGTAAGAATATGAGTACTGGACTCAGGTCCACAAACCTGGGTTCCCTAGACAACTCCTTCGTTTTCCATGAATTTGGGTAAACCTCTTAACTTTTGAGCATCAATTGTATGTTCTAAAATGGAGATAATAATATAAGTTGTGTTCACCTCTTATATTGTATTTATAGCTTACAAAGTATCTTTTCATGTATGCTATTCAATCTTCATGACAACCCATGAATTATGTAGTTTATTCCTATTTTACACATCCAGGAATTGTTTTGGAGAGAGTCCTTAGCCTTTCAAGATCTTGGGATAAAAAGGAACTGGAAAGAATTTTTTTTTTTTTTGGTTAATCCTCACCCGAGCATATTTTCCCCTTGATTTAGAGAGAGTGGAAGAGAGAGGGAAAGACAGAAACATTGATGTGAGAGAGACACATTGATTGGTTGCCTCCTGCACGCGCCCTGACCAGGGCCCAGGCCGGGGGAGGAACCTGCAACCGAGGTACATGCCCTTATTTGGAATTGAACCTGAAACCCTTTGGTCCGCAGGTCAATGCTCTATCTACTGAACCAAAGCGGCTAGGGCTGGAAAGAATTCTTTCAATGCTCTTAACAAGGGGACATATTTGCCTCTTCTGAAGAAATGCATAAATGTTTCACACATATATACATGTATAGAGAAATTCATTGGCGGTTGGATATTCTAACACCTCAAGATGTGCTGACCTAACAAACCATACTTTGCTCTCTAATGAACATATTCCTCCATCAATTCTCTAGTGGTTTCTAATCTACTTACCTCTACCATGCTCATAGTCCAGAAGACTGGCACCTGGAGAACAAAGGAGAAAGAGCTTCATGATTTTGCTTCTTGAAAATTATTGGGCCTTTAAGAATCTGAGAGCTAAGGTAGACATGAACTCCTGGTAGTGAATAATGATGGAAATTAATTCACTTTGTAGGAACTAGAGACTGCATAAGTAGCAGGAGTAGATGATGACAAGTGACCACGCCAGTCAACAGTTTCATTTCAGCTAGGCTAAATAATAATCAGAAGGGGCTTCAAAGTTGCTTTTCCTTCTTGGCACACCAGCACCTAGCTCCTGTTTTCCTTGTCTTATTATTTCTGGGTTATCTTTCTGCAACTTGGGCATCTCACTGGACATTGCCATGGAAATCCTGCTTCCCCTCTTGAACTTGGTGCTCTCCTTATCAGTCATGATGATCTTAGTCGTGCTCACTCTCATTATTTCTAGCTACATTAGGTTCTTCTCCCAGGCCACATTGCCGAGGCCCTCGTAGCTGTCAAATTTAGATTTTCTGCCTCACTACCTGAGGAGTCGGCTATTTCCATGGCTTGGAGTCTCTGTGCTGCTCTCAGACCACAGGCTTCTGAAGAGAGCCTCACAATTGCGCAGACCTCCGCTACTAACTCATTCTGCCCAAGCCAGTTGCTCCATAGAAGTCGCTGGTGGATCTCTCCCAGTAACTTAGAGCTGCCAGTACAATGGTGAACAAGACAGATTTGGTCACTGGCAAATTCCGTAATTGCTCACTCTTTCTTTTTCTCATTGGCATAAGTACTTACTTTGTTCTGAATTGTATCTTGAGACATCCATTTCTGTGGAAGAATTAAGCAAAAATATATCTGTTGGCTACTTGTGAGAGAGGTTCTTTCTCCTGTCCCAACTCTCCTCACTCTAAACTTCATTGCTCCCAAGGTAGCCTTTTGATCCAATGCATTACCTCTTTCAATGTCTCCAACCAGCCCTGTGCTACCTACCCTTCCACACCACTTAGTCTCTGAGGGACCATGGGACTGAGGATGAGAAATAGAGGGGGATGCAGCTGACTAGAAGGAAGTAGGAAAGATACTGAGAAAAATGCTGGAGAGACCTCCTGGCCTAGAAATAGGTCATTGCCTTTATGAGCCCCACCTCGTTTCCTTGACAAGTACTATTCTATATTTGTCTGTTCTTATTACCTCCCCAATTTTAAGTAACTAAATTACTAGCTAGTGATGTCTAGGAGCACAGTGTCTTCTCTCCCATTTTTCTCCTCAGGTAATTTCCCTTGGAGCTCAGATCATTTTCTTTTAGAGTATTCTTGTTATTAATATTGTTAAACTCAATCTGAATTTTTTAGTTGACATAATTGTTAATGTGATCTTTGGGAGTTAAAAAAGCCAGGGTATATCAATAATAGGTCAGAGATTCATTGATTCATGTACTGGAATCAATTTCCAGAATATTGGCAAAGTCTCTAGCTGTCTGATAAGCAGAAATGAACTCAGACTGCATCTTGGCATCCCTCCTTTGATGACTTTCACAGGGAATCTCCATTTTGACTCATTGTTACTCACCATTTTGCTTGCGTCGTGTCCATCTTGTTAACAAAATAGCCAGAATAGCAAGTCCCAGTAGAGTCAGGATGACAGCCAAAGTTATTTCTGAAACAAAAACTCACCTGTATTTATGCTCATGCACTATCAGAGACTTCTGGTCACCTCTTACTGTTGTCACCAGATAGACACCCTCCATCTGTTATCTCAATTCCTTTTTTCCTTTTATCTTCCTCATCTTACCCTCCTCGCACTTCTTCACCTGGCCATTTCTTAGCTTTTATGAAGGTTCTTTTGCTCAGATACTGAGAACCATGGATGCTGTGTAACCTTCGTTTAGAGTATATAAGATTCCGTCCACAACTGAGCTCCTTACTCTTGCAGGTGGGGGAAGATTAGGGAGAATCAGAGGTATGCAAAGCAATCTTGGGTGTGCAAAAAAATATTGTTTTTATTTTTATGTAATTTTAGATTTATTAGCTATGAAATTTTTAGGTTTTCCATTTTAAAGCCTATATTAGTACACTAGTTATATGTATAATATTTACAAATATACATATAGAAGAACTGCATGCTAAAATAGAGAGAAAGGAAGTGAAGGGAGAGAGTCAGTGAGTAAATGAATGAATGAACAAATGAACCAATAATAAATATGCCTGTGACAGCAAAAATTGCTGAAAAAAACTGAACTCTGAAAGGTAAGAAAATTAGTTATACCAAGATTAAGCTACTGCAGAAAATCAAAAGGTGAATTCTCCTCAAGATGTAATGACTCTGCCAATTGAGGCAGATTAGGCAAATGTCTACTGAATCTTTTAGGTGTTAGGTTATGTGATAAAAATCTCCTGCCAAATCAACCTTCAAAAATATGCTCGTCATGGACCAATAAATGAACAGCAAATAATCAATTTGGCCTTTATCATGCAAGACAGAATTTGTAACTGATGTGGAATGATCAGGGAAAGAAGAGATAACCAGGTGGTATACTCAGATCAGACCTCTGGAAGGTAGTGCTCCCTTTGACTGATGTGTGAGATGCTCTAGCTATAGAAGATAATCTCCATTTATGAGGAAAATAAGAAGACAAATTGAGCAGATTATAAAGTGAGCAATACTGGAGGAAGTGAGATGATAGGCTGAGGAATTTTCCTGTTGCTCTGAATGATGGTTATTTTCTCTGAGCAGTTCAAACTCCAGAAACGGAAGGAGGAATCAAGCCGAGGTGACTCAGGCTCCCAGAGGCATCAGTAAGAGTGAAAGAAGAGAATTTGAAAGAGAGCAGGCAAGAAAGGTAAACAGCTGTGTTACGGTCCCCAGAGAGAAAACTCCTGAGCCAAGAGTGCCGAGGAGGCCTCGGGGAGTCCGTCCGTACCCAACACTGCCATTTCCTGGGCGTTGTCTTCGGTGGGTCCTGTGTCATCTGGGTGTCTTTGTCAGAGGGCGGCCGAGATAAAACCAACACCCACGCTCACTGTTTCTGAGCAGTGTGAACTTGGATGTGGGAAAGCCCTTGTAGACAAAGGTGCAGAGAGTCACAGAGGAATTGTGTGACTCAGGTTGATCAGACCTGGGCAGGCTATAAAAGTGTGGCCTATGAAGGTTCCGGAATTTGTGTCATAACAAAGAACTAGAACTTGAGAGAGGCAAGAGGAAAGGAGGAGGAGGCTCAAGACTCTGGGAAGATATCAGGATACTTTGGAGGACCTTAAACTTACTCTCTCTGAGCTCTGGAATATTTAATTTTGCAGAGATTGTGAGGTCAGAGCTTATGTTTCATTTATCTTTGTAATTCTTGTGTCTGAGAACCTCCTATAGAACAGGCACTTAATAAATGTTTGATGATTAAAAATGAGACAAATTTCTATATTTATATTAAGAATATAAATAAAGGGTAAACTGAGTTGTTGGGGTTAGATAGTAAGGCAAAGTCAGAGGTTTGTGATGATAGGAAGAATGAGCCAGTGGACGGGGTTTCCTAGCCAGTATGGAGAACAGGGGAGTAATAGCTCCCCTTTTTATTGAGCGTCTATGACCTATCAGGCTCTGTAATAGGTACTTTACAAGTACAAACTCATTTAATCCTCAATAACCTTCACAATGAGAACCTTCAAGACTGAGGCACCTGAACTCACCCAGCCAGCAAATGGCAGTTTCTGACTCCAAATCCCACAGTATTCACAAAGCCACACTTCATTTCAGTCTTGGAGGCTGACTGTCCATGATGCTATTTTTCAGGCTAAGTAGTCAGCCTCGGGGAGACAGTGATGTCTTCCAGTTTCAGGATGCTTCACCTTCCAGGTCTGGGAAGCTTGGGACTACCTTAATTTTTAAAATAAACTTTGATAGTTGAAATCCTTATTTAGTCTATTATATGCTCTAGGTTGATGATGGAGAAGGAGTCATTTAAAGTTTTTACACATATAAATTTAAATTGCTAGTATTTCAACAATCACCCCACAATTTATTTCAGTGAAGACTCATCTCTTGACAGTTTCATTCTTATTATACTACAAAGTGTTCAGAACCATCATAAGTCCAATAGTCAATTATAATGATTAATTATATAATTTTGGGTAATAGTACATCATAATAGAATCACTAGGACTTAATTACATAACATTTTTATAAAATAGACTCGTACCTCAGCATGGTTTCTGAATTGTAGCTCTCCAACCGTAGAATAAATGTAAACTGACAGCAAAATTTGAATGGAGGAAACATGGTAATTCTATGATAGTACACTCAGAGTTACTACTATCCTCATAAAATCTGAACCCAAACTCAAAATAAAGCAACAAAACTGCTACCCCTGTGATGGCTAGCTTCATGTGTCAACTTGACTAGGCTATAACACCTGTCTAGATTTTCTGTGAAAGATTTTTTTTTATGTGATAAACATTTACAATCACAAGACTTTAAGTACAGCAGGCTACTTTCCATAATCCGTGTGTGGCTCCTTTAATCAGTTGTAAGTCTCAAGAGCAAAGACTGAGATTTTCCAAGGAAAAAATAATATTCCTTAAGACTGCATCGTAGAAACTCTGCCTTAGTTTCTGGCCAGCTTGGTCTGTCCTGTAGCTTTGAACGCAAGACTTCAGTATCAACTCTTACATGAATTTGCTGGCCCACCCTACAGATTTCAGAATTGTCAGACCCCCTGCCCCCCTGCCAGTGTGTGAGCCAATTCCCTTAAATAAATCTATTTAATTTATTACCTTATATGTATCTTCAAATTCTATTTCTCTGGAGGATCCTGACTTATACACCCCTTTGCTAAAAATATCGAATTGTCCGCAATATGATATAGTGTATGTGTTAGCAAAACTACATATGGGCCCTCTCTACAGTCCCAGGGGGTGGAGGACATTTAATCTATTTTAGAAAACTGATCACCCACAATAGGAATTCTAAACTACGAATAAGGAAAAAGAAATAATGTGAAAGAGTTCAGATATGTAACTTTCAGTGGATTTGACTTGATTGAGGTTATAGTTTAAGAAGTGTAGAGTAATGAATAGCAAGCATCCCCTTTGTTTGCCTCTGGCGGTAATCAAGGCTTATAGATTAAAGGCATCCTTGTCCTTTCATTTAGGCATTTGGATAAGAAGAGGAAATGTAATGTTAATATTACTAACCAGTATCTAAAGTACACATATTATGAATTGTTGATTGACGTGAGGTCCATATAATTTAAATACTCTTGATATACAGCCATATAGCAACTTTTTGGGCAAGGGCAAGACTCTTTTTTTCTTTTTAAAAGCAGAAAATTTCTCTACTCCATTGTGACAGGCTACGAAACCTTATGTTTTGAGCCATGCTTTCTTTAAAAAAATCCTTGCCTAAGGGTGTTTTTGTTTTTTTCATTGATTCTAGAGAGAGTAAGGGAGAAGGAGAGAGAGAGAGAGAGAGAGAGAGAGAGAGAGAGAGAGAGAGAGAGAGAGAGAGAGAGATCAGTACATGGGATGAAACTCTAGCCACTGAGCACACCAGCCAGAGCAGGGACCGTACATTAAAAAACAAAACAAAAAAACACACCAATATACTATCCAAGCCTCATCTTCCCATTTTATGGTTAATCTCTCATAGATTTTATATGCTTAAGAGACAGAATCTAAAGAGAGGAAGTCCCCTTATAAATCAGCAGGCTTAAAGCAAAAGCCTACACCCTCCAAAGATAATTTCGTTGAACTTCTATCAAAACCACTCTCATCCTTCAAGGCTGCCTTTTTGGGCGAACAGGATTCTAACAAGGAGAAATAAAGTTCCACCTCCAGAGCAGTACTGCTCCTTCTCTGTTTTTTCATAGAAAACCTCTAATTCATGCTCTATCACAAATGCTGTTCACAGTTCTACAGTTATCTCTTGGGATAGAGAGACCTGGACTATCCTATATAATAAAAGCCTAGGTGACTTCATCACAAGATGGCTGCCACAAGATGGACTCCACAAGATGGCCGGCAGGGGAGGGCAGTTGTGGACAATCAGGCTGGCAGGGGAAGGCAGTTGGGGGGCAACTGGACCTGCAGGGGAGGGCAGTTGGGGGCAACCAGGCCAACAGGGGAGGGCAGTTGGGGGTGATCAGGCCAGCAGGGGAACAGTTAGGCATCAATCAGGCTGGCAAGGGAGCAGTTAGGGGGCGATCAGGCTGGCAAGCAGAAGCAGTTAGGGGCAATCAGGCTGGCAGGCAGGTAAGCGGTTAGGAGCCAGCAATTCCGGACTGTGAGAGGGATGTCTGACTGCCAGTTTAGGCCCAATCTCACAGGGCAATCGGACATCCCCTGAGGGGTCCCAGATTGGAGAGGGTGCAGGCCAGATTGAGGGACCCCCTCAACACTGTGCACAAATTTCATGCACCGGGCCTCTAGTATACTAATGACAAAGTAACTATGTGTTCATACTGAACACCAAACCATATGCAATGCATCCTGGGACTGGCATCACGGGCACTGTGACACAGCCTCATTGTTTACACATCAGAGAGCCACAGGTCCACTTTAGTGCAGTGTCAGCCTGACCCACATTTCCCAAATGACATGAGAGTCTGATTTACTATAAATATCACCTCATTGCTTACTTTGGTACAAGAGACCTGGGTTCAGTTCACAGGGCACTTTAAAAGACTCAGCCTTGATCTGGCCAGTGTGGCTCAGTTGATTGGAGCATTGCCCCAGGCACCCAAAGGTGGCAGGTTCAATTCATGTCAGGGCACATACCCAAGTTGTGGGTTCGATCCCTAGTTGGGGTCGAGGCGCATATGGTGTTGGGGGAGCAGCCAATCGATGTTTCTCACTCACATGGATATTTTTTTTCTCTTTCTCTCCACATTTCTAGAAAAATAAAGGAACATTAAGTGTAGAGCAGTGGTTCCCAACCTTTTTTTGGCCATGCCCTACTTAAGCATCTCTAAAATCCTGATGCCCCACCCCCCGTGACATATAATTCTTATTATTCAAAAACTGAACTCCTATTCATGTGGAGGAAGCCTAAAAGGCCATTAACTTGGTCTAAACAAGCTTCTAAAGAACATGGCATCCATGAAAGAAAAGAAAAAAGATTAAAAGGACAGTTCAAGTACTGAGGAAGATATCACAGAAATTGTTTAAAAAATAATAAAATGAAGTGATATGAAAAAATAACAAATAAAGTTTCAAAACATATAACTGAGAACTGAAATACATAAATATTTCACAATATGTATTTATATACTATATATGAGGCTCCCAGAACCATAAGAAATGCAAACAATTTGCTCTTAATAACTCATTCTCAAATTGCCCCCCTTAAAAATCAAACATCCCCCCTGTGGGGCATGTGCCACGTTGAGAACCACTGGTCTAGATAGAAGAATGATTGACTGTGAGGCAGTAATGGGAAGAGACAGAATTAGAAAATTTTATAAATTGCATTGGCCCTGCACTTAGCATTTATGATTTTGTTTTTAGAAAGTGACACCAATCTGTCATGAAATTGAAGTGTTTGCATTCCATTTCCATCATTTGATCTCTCTTTAAAGCCTCCTGCTCTAAAATTGTTAGTATTTCCGAGGGTGCTGATAACTCAATAAATCCGAAGCATGCTGCCTCTGACACATCCCTCATGTTTCTCTGACCTTTTACAAAAATACAGTGGTCTCTCTAATCATTTCTAAAACTAAAAAGAGAAATTTCCAAGCACATAATCACACTGTCAACAATAAAAATATTTTTTTTAATCCCTATTGACTAAATCTTAAAGGCTACTGATTATATAATCCAGACATCTTTGTTCAATAACCTTTTACCATTAATTTATTCCTACAAGTTTTCTTATATTAAGCAAGGGTACCTCTTGTGACATTTTGATAACATATTGATGATGAGTGTGGAAGTGAATAATATGGTGAAAAGAATAATAGGGAAATTTATTATTTGCCCACTATACAAAAATAGTCATAAGGCAAGTGGAGGCAAGACATTGAGGAATTGGCAACAGCAACTAATGGTGTTAATTTTTAAGAGGAATCCTCATATTTAATCTGAACATTTTCAAATTGATGGAAGCACTAAAACCTAATAGACTCTTGTGAATCCAGAGTGGACATATATCAGTGAGTCTGGTGGACTGGAAACCTTTTAAAGAAATGCTAAGATTATAGATAGTTGGATATATTGATTGGAATTTAGATAGACTGATATATAGAAAGAGGTAAGCAAATGCTCACCCTCTCACAAGATGTCCATGTCCTAATTCCTAGAATCTAGAGTATGTTAGGTTACATGGCAAAGGAGAATTAAAGTAGCAGGTGATGAATGTTGCTAACCATCTGACCTCTCTTGCCATAAGCATCCCCCTGAGGAAGACCATATGGCAAGAAATTGAGGCCTTCTGCCAACAACCTATGAGTAAGATACCATGGCAGCACATCTTTAGCCCTGGAGAAGCCTTCAAATGACTACAACCATGGTCAACAGCGTGACTGCAATCTTGAGAGAGACTAGAACCACCTTAAACTAGAACCACCTGGCTAAGCCACTCCTAAATTCCTTTCTTCAAACCCTGTGTGGAATAATAAATGTTTGTTGTCTTGAGCTGCTGAGTGACACCCTCAAGAAATATAGTGAGACCCTTGAGGATATGAAAAAGGGCCAACTAGAAATTAAGAATACACTGACTGAAATAAAAAATATTATACAGAGACCCAACAGCAGACTAGAGGATCGCAAGAATCGAGTCAAATATTTGAAATACGAAGAAGCAAAAAACACCCAACTGGAAAAACACAAAGAAAAAAGAATCCAAAAATATAAACATATTGAAAGGGGCCTCTGGGACAACTTCAAGTGTGCCAACATCCAAATTATGGGGGTGCCAGAAGAAGAGAGAGAGCAAGATATTGGAAACCTATTTAAAGAAATAATGACAGAAAACTTCCCCTGCCTGGTGAAAGAAATAGACTTACAAGTCCAGGAAGCACAGAGAACCCCAAACAAAAGGAATCCAAAGAGGACCACACCAAAGCACATCATAATTAAAATGCCAAGAGCAAAAGACAAAGAGAGAATCTTAAAAGCAGCAAGAGAAAAAAAGTCTGTTACCTACAAGGGAGTACCCATACGACTGTCAGCTGATTTCTCAACAGAAATTATGCAGGCCAGAAGGGAGTGGCAAGAAATATTCAAAATGATGAATAGCAAGAACCTACAACCAAGATTACTTTACCCAGCAAATCTATCATTCAGAATTGAAGGTCAGATAAAGAGCTTCACAGATAAGAAAAAGCTAAAGGAGTTCATCACCACCAAACCAGTATTATATGAAATGTTGAAAGGTATTCTTTAAAAAGAGGAGGAAGAAGAAAAAGGTAAAGGTACAAATTACGAACAACAAATACATATCTATCAACAAGTGAATCTAAAAATCAAGTGAATAAATAATCTGATGAACAGAGTAAACTGGTG